GTTTCAACATTGATTCATTCGAGGCACGTCGTTACTGTTCTTCAAAAAAAAAAAAAATAAGAATATGAAATAGACATGCTGAAACTATGCAACACTATAACAGGCCCTAGATAATTTTCACCCAGTTAAACAGGACAATATGCCTTTATGTTTATGGAGTTTGTTTTTAATTCGGTGTACATAACAAATCGTGACAAACAAATATTGAAGCTCACTGAGTTAATGAGTATAAATATACCAAAAGTTAAAGGGGTGTAACTCTAATAACGGCAATATGATATTTGCCAGTTCTAATTAATGCTGTGTATATTTTCCCGAACACATGTATTGAACAAACAACATTTGAGTCTTATCATGATAGCTTTATACGAACAAGGGAAAGGAAAGGTGTTTTGATATAAAATGAACGAAAGACAGACATGTAACTGCAGCTATACCATTTGGTAATAGAGAGAGTGTGTCAAACAGTATTTCGCTGTACAGAACTCGAAAACTTTCAGGTTAGCACCAGCAACACTTAAAACGATTTCGATATCTTTTAATAAATGCTGTGCTAGACTGATGTAGGACGTTCGAAATAAACGCTTTTGATGGCGCCTTTTTTCTTTGTTCAACGCTAATTTTAAACATAATTTAAGAACCTTTCTTCGCTGTGTGCTAAATATTTAAATATTAATATCATACTACGACTTCTAATACTGAATGATCGATATTTTAACCAATACTTTAGTCTTCAATAATTACGGCGATGCTGGTATTCCGTCTTTGCGTATTGCAGAGTTATCTTCTCTTGTGAGCAGGTATTGATTGTTACGTTATTGGTTTGTATGAGAAAATTACGTCGTTTTCTCAAAAATTGATGACGTTACTCTCACAAACAAATGACGTAACAATCAATATCTGCTCAGAAGAGCAGATAACTCTGCAATACGCAAAGACAGAAAAATTATGGTGGGATTCAAATCATTGTTTGTAGATTGGCAGAGATATATTATTCCAAAAGATTCTTACATCTTAGGAATAATCGTGATGTCGTAATGTTGTCTTTGAGTTGGTGTTTCCAATTATTGTCATTTAACAACAAGATTTTGCGTATGTCATTTTATTCTTACTGCATGGCTTTTATTTCTGTCTGTTAACCAATATGGTTTATAATTAGTAATAAAGTTCTTTCCAGATGATCAGTCAAAGACGGTTAGCCATGTACAAAGCAACGTAGTAGGTGGCCAATTTTAAAGGGGGACAAAGAAGATCAGGTAAGAGTCTGATACTGTAAACTTTGTACAACCAACCACAACCCCGTATAATAACACCTGCTGGGGCGAAATAAACAGAACAAACCCAGCCTAATCAATCTGTTCTCATGGGAAGTTTCTTTGTAAATGGCTCCATATCTTTTCATGTTTTGGTAATTACCAATAATAAGGTATATCCTAGCCAATTTATATTTCATGAAAATCGAAATAATGGATACAGGGATTATTTGAAAGTCGTCATCTACTATTGCTGACCTTACAACGGTTACATGGCTAGTGAAGACAGCTGGCACAGAAAATTGGGTTAATGAAGACGGAGACTGGGCTGATTTCAGGACTTTCTTAACAACATCATTCTGTGGATACAGGAGGACTTTTATGTGTTAACGTCATCAGCGTTTTGGTCCGTCATTGATAGACGTCTCATAGTTTTATTCAATGCAAAGTGTTTATTTCTCAAAGAAGCCTACATTCGAATGTATTATATAATTTTCATGACGAGATTTAATGTCATCTTTAAACTTGTTTTTAAGATATGTACAAAAATAGAAAAATCAATTTGAAAATAATACCTACATGTAATGTGATGCTTTTTTAGTTAATGAATAATAAAACATATAAATAAATCCGACGCGATATTTTTTTGTTTAACATTGAAATGTTCTTTCTTAGAACCTCATATTTCTCCTTAAGAGACAATGTTAGTTTGTTTAATTTTTGTACCAGACAAATATACATTTAACAGGTTATTTAATATAGCAGTTTCTTATTTAACAGATAACAGACCATTTTCTGTTAAATATTATAGCAATAAGTCATGTCTGATTGTTATTTAATAAATGCAGAATTTCACGCCTTTGTTTTAATAACTATGAACTGTATTTAAAGTAAATCATTTAAGTACTAGTGAATTTAAAATATAACATCTCAGTATAAGTATATTTAAACATTTCATTATTATCAGTAGCATTTATAATGCAACAGTTCAGTATCAGTGCATTTATAGTATAATATTTTAGTATCAGTTCAAGCGACTTTTTATATAACGTCGTCTGTGAACATATTACATATAACTTATTGCCGTTACTTTTAGGTACATGTGATAGCGTCAATTACGTTCATAGTTCATTTAACACCAACGTTGTTTCTTATTCATACAATCATTTGTATAAATATATGCACTTGTATATCGTACACACGTTTGAGGTATCATGCTCTACCAATACTTAACCAATTAGCTGTTAAGGTTTATATCATTTGGGTATCTATGGGTGTCAAGATAAAGTTGAAGATAGAAATATACACTCGATAAAAAACAGATATGAGGATATAAAGAAGGGATAAACTCGGGTAAATATATAAGCTTTAGGACAATGTTAAAGGCGTGATACCAAATAATATAACTCTTTAGAATGCATTTGATGGCAAAAAGTCGAACTTTATCAAAGTATTAATATAATGATTATACTCTAACCGAGCGGTCGATCGTTTGGTTCCAAGCAAGCCGATGTACGTTCCTTAAGATAGCAAATTGTGTTTATATCTTGCATTAATTTTCTTTGCAGCAATTTTTTCAATCTTCAATCACACAAAAACGTTTTCCTTAGATGCAATTTCTGAATATTCAGTTTACGTCGCCGCATTTGTAGTTAATATGGATTTTTTTAAGGAAACGAACACTTTCCTAAATAGAAACTGTAGTTAGTAAAAGAAATCACATGAGGTGTTAAATTGTACCCGGTGTATGCCAAAACTACATACTGGTTAGAAATAAGTTAATAGCTAGAAGCCGTTCATAGGTTAATGTAAATAGCGGACTTATTGTTGAAGAGTTGAAAACATACATATCTTATGAAATTTCAATTATCAATGTACATTCGTATTTGCTACTCCGTCTGATTCCTATATCCTTGTTAATGATTTTGGTCCAATTAAATATAATGGAGTTTTATTTTGTAGATCTCGTGTTTGCGAGATTTCGTTTTCAAGACGAAAAACCAACGTACTCGATTAAGCATCAGAAAGTGTTTTCTTCGTTGTGCAATATGACTATCTATGTTTTAGTTATGCTCTTTCGTGTGTCTTGTTGTTTTTGTCACTATTCCGGTTCTCTGTTCGCTAATTTGGTATTTTATTGAATTTGACACAGACAGTACGGATATCACTTCCAGCCAGTCACTCACCATGACATCATATGTATAATTTAATTTCACTCACTAGTAAATGCCATTTATCACATATAGTAAGTCACCAGGACGGACAACAAATGTTTACAACTTACAACCATGCGCTTAGGCTTTGGTTGTATTATACACAGCCATGTGCTAAGACGTTAGTTGTACCACATACATGTACAGTCACGCGCTTAAACAGTAGTTGTACCGCATACAACCATGCGCTTAGACATAAGTTGTACCGCATATAACCATGCGCTTAGACATTAGTTGTACCACATACAACCATGCGCTTAGGTATTAGTTGTACCACATACAACCATTGGGCTTAGACATTAGTTGTACCGCATACAAACATGCGCTAAGACATAAGTTGTACCGCATACAACCATGCGCTTAGACATTAGTTGTACCACATACAACTTTGCGCTTAGACATTAGTTGTACCACATACAACCATGCGCTTAGACATACCATGGAATAATTTATCTATAAAAGGTATTATCATTTGCATAAATACAACAGCAGAAATGGATACTTTTACTACAACTTAAGTCGTAAGATTCATTTAGTCTAATATCTACATCGTTGAGGTTGTTTGGGACATCCTATAAACGTAATCTATAGACACGCGTTAAGTTTTCGAAATAAGCTTATTATATTGGTTCCCAACAAAATGTTGGAATACCAATAACACATTGTTTTGGTTTTCGGTTTATCTTACTAGCCGTGTCTTAATCTTAACAAGCTCAATAATGTGTACAAAATGTCTGCTGTGGAATCTGTTCTGTCCATCTTATACGGTGAAAGTTTTAATCAAAAGTCAACCAAACATCTACACTTGTAGTTGGACAACTATTTTTACAATATAAGATTGCATAATCCCTATAATCTTTGGTTTTATCTTCAACCCCTCGACTATTCATCTTGGGTGTTCTTTCACAAAATCAAATTGTATGGATTACACCACTGTGTTAGTCCTAACAGAAAGAAATGGAGGAACTTTTCGTCCAAATACAAACTATTGCTTTTTAATGGTTTTCTTATTTTTAAAACTTAAATGAAGCGCCAAATGTATTTTCTGATCGGACCCTCAATTCTTCAGAAAGATATATTTCCTACTATTTCAAAACATTAAATATTATTATGTTCAGTTGTAAATACTTCAACTTCTCCTTTGAAATCGTTGATATATTTGGTAGAAACACTTTTAAAATTTTCAGGAACTTCTTAGTAAATTATTTCCATTTGTAAAGTAGTATTTGAATTAAGGAATGTTAATTTATCTAATGCAAATCCAGGATCAAAGCTATTTTAATCTTGAAGATGACGATCATCATTAGAACGGCGGATTGTTTCCATTGTACGTCGGTTTACCAATTTTGTATTAACACAAATTATACTTGTATATCTAAGGATCTTATCAAGCAAATCCATATCTGTCGCCGACGTATAATCTGCTGGAGGCGTAGTGTGTTTCCAATTCTTTGATTACAAAGAGCTTTTGATTAAGACAGTTGCGTCCATTACTTTAACAGGATACGTAAAATTAAATTAATTTCACAAGTGGTAAAAGTAACGAACTTTATCGGATAGTAAGGGAATGAACATATAATGAACAGAAAACCATGCAACAAGATCTCGGCGTATATCATTTAATTTCATATAACTTCGCTTGATTTGGCTTTAAACTCGTGCGTTTGTAGGCGTGGCGAATGCATTCATTTATTGGCAGCAAGCTTACACTGTAAATGTAGAGCACGGCCATAGCTCTACATATTGTCTGCCGCTACCACACAAATCAGCATAATGACCAAATATAATATATATATGGTCGTAAGCTAACAAATATCAGCATCACAGGATAAACTAACTAATCAACAAAGATGCATGCTAAATAAATACATCGAATACATTAACCAATTGGCACTTAGCATGGCAATCACAGATACATATTAGTAGACTACATGTCATCATAAAAATCTATATTTTTCAAGAATAAAAAAGAAAATCGCTTACAGTACAACGAAACAATAAACGTCATTAGAATCGCATTATTCACAATTAAACAACGTAATAACAGGTTTAAATGTTATAAGCATAGACTGATGGTTAAATAATGGAATAGATACATGTAATACACTTTGGGGGAAAAAAATAATGCAGAGGAAAATAACATTCTTTCAAAATAGTTGAATAAATCAGTACGCATAGGTTTGTACTCATAAATCTATTATCGAATTTAAGCATACACAACCTTCAAAACATTTACCACAAAATGGATATGTTTAGAAAACAACGTAAACGATATAGTCGCTGACATTGACAATATGCAACATTCCACATATATTTGAGTAAGTACATAAAACATCGTTAAATTCTGCAACGTGTGGAGTACGTTTCTCCTTATTGTGCACTATAGCCATTTTATTTTATACATCCATACAGCAATGATTAAGCTGGGCATGTAGTTACTGGCGGTCTTTATAGTATCCATAAAGAAACGGGTCCAAATTTTTGAGGTAACCCTACCAACCATTGGAATGCGAACTAAAAGGTACACATGGATAATGGACCCCACAGGAATCATTTCTAAAACAATGTTTTATCGCTGGCTATGCCAGTTGCTCAACCAGACCATTATCAAAGTTTCGCTCGATCATTCTTTATATCATTTGATCTGGGCTATAGTGGTACTGTTACACTGTATAAGTCAGAAGAGGAATTAATGGAATTTAGATAATGAAGGTCACGTTAGATGTTTCATGGTTAAAAGTGCGATTATTTTGAAAAGTTTAACACAAACCCTAAACCTAAACGCGAATGGTGCAAATGCATTAGCTAATGGTAATGCGTAAAACGTTCCGTTGAAAATGAGTCAGGTAGTTAAGAGGTAGATATCTTGACAATTTAGCTGTCTACGGAATACGGACGAACAGGCAGACTGACACAGGCAGACGGACAAGAAGATTGAAATACATCCTTTTAATTATAAACATTCAAATCAGACATTGCAATGCATTTGTTCATCATATTGTACAGTGTATTACAAACTGATTAGAGAATTGCGCGGTTCATACTAGCCCAATATTGCTTATTCAAAAAAGTCTAGCATTCTGTTATCTTCCGGTTTCTTATCATGATAAATAAGTTCCCAAATGGTAAAATTGCTTGTCATTCAACTAAACCATTGGGAGGATACATTTAGATAATAAAGTATCCCTTACACATCTGGGATAGGGGGACAGTGGATACACATTGATAAATCCTCGACAACGATTAACTACACTATTTGTAATTCCCAGCGTGACACGAGGACATGTCCCACACAACAACGTTGTCAGAAGTCGGTCAAGCAATGCTCTCAAGTGCTGGTACATTACCTTGGTAGAGACACGGCGCGCAAGGCTAATTTGGCAGACAATGTTCGTCGAAATCCCGTTATGTCTCCTATTCTATGATGTGTAGCATTCTCATATATTAGCAAATTATGTTATGGACGTTTGTACGAGGTGTATGCTAATATATTTCTGTTTGCGTCAAATTTCTCTGTTATAACTAAATCATTTACACCAATTCCAACTTCATCACAATGCCTGGTTTTATACACAGTCTATGCAGGCTGATAACTTAACAATAATGTGTAATTTAAAATTCGATGGTAGGTCATTTGCTTGTATCATACGGTATATCAAAGAGGTCGCCATGTGAAACGTCACACATGGCAAGTTTTTAACAAACACCATAATGAAAATGAATGTCAATTTACCCTTTATAGAGGTCGATCTATACAGAGAAGATATAAACAAATCGATTCTTGTGAACACAATACATAAACCAACGATATGTTCAGTTTCAAACATTCAACAAAAACGGATCTTATTTTACGAAGTAATGCAATTTTGAATAATACCAATACAATTGACATAATGTAATGTGATGTCGAGGGTAGATTTTTAATAAATTTAATTCAATAAATAGCACTGTCTAAAAACGATAAGTAAGTTAAAATATCTGTAAAGTATACAACAATGCAATAAAAGTTCAGGAGCACGTGTACCGATTGTCGTTAATGAGATAAACCTAAATCACATCAAGGTTCACACTGCCTTATGTAAGTCTCTGATGGCGTGAGTCAGTGTGGCACTATTACTGCTGTGTATTAAATACACAAATCTGGTATTTACAGATAAGTGGAAGTGTTATGTATCGCAGGCTAACTGTCACTCCAGAGATTTGTGAAGAAAGGCTCTCTTTTTATCGATGTTTTAGCTTCATGAAATGTCATCCACATACAGCTTGTCGTTCAATATGTCCTGCCGAGTTGGCATCCTCTAAATATACTCTATACAACATCGAGCACAGGAGACCAATACTAACCAGGAATAGAGGTATCAATTAAGTCGGACAATCGAAGACTATTTTGGCCAGGAAAGCCACATTTTGTTGTAAATGTAACCGCAATTATTCCCTGATATATAGTCATAATGCATGTTGAATATAGACAGCGTGTTCAAAAATGATCCAGCAAATTACAGGGCATCGGATAAAGGAAGATAATCTGCTTTGACGACCTGTTGATAAGGTCTTCAATTGATATGGATGGTAATTATAAGAACACTTTTGTTTTAAGTCGGTCAATTGTGTGGAATATAGGTCAGTCCACTTCTGGATATATAAGAAGCCATGTATGCTGTCAGGATGCGGTATGACGATATACAGGCAAGCAATGCATACAATGAGAACGTATTAATTGCTTGACATGCATCAATAAATTTGAATTTATTTGTGTTAAGAAATTATGGTATTCTACATATACTTAAACACAAGAAAACAAAGATACCGCATTTGCCAACACACAAAGACAAAATCCGAAATTAATCGTAGGTATAAAAAGACAACAACTGAACCCCACACATGATTAGCACACAGTGTGTGAGATAAACCTCGTAATTGGAAGTTTACAATCAATGATAGAGGCATGTTGTTGTTTTACACATGATCACAAGTAAAGCTGTTAACAGTATAAACTTCTATTAACAAAGCATGACATGCACGTACACAACACGTACGCATTATGGTTAACGTTCCTAACGTTTCAACATCTAACAAAACTAAAATTGAATTTCAAATATATATAAATAAAACATATCAAGTAATAAATAAAGATAATCCTCTAACGATGGAGTGCAATCCTTAATGTACTTATGAATATATCGATATTTACGTGTTAAATTATGGCTTGTCCGGTCTATTATCTGTTCGTATTGTTTCAAGAAGACTGTGTGGGTCTGGATGTGAACAGACACCAGTAACTGGCACCAGGTGGTTCGACATCGCTTGACTGGTAGTCCGTCCAATGGAAATATACTGAAAATAAAAGAAAAAAATGTATTCCATATCTCAACTCACGATGGTCAGTTAAACATGTACCAAACATGTCCATTTGAACTGATGATTTATTCTATGTATGGTTTTTCTGCAGAAATTTATTAAAAACAAATATGAATACTGCAGTTTTATTTTATTTCTGACGTCGGTTTAAAGATAATATTGTGTAAATCTGTTGTCATAGTGTTCTATTTATCTCTATGTTCCATGGTGTTGACGACGGGGATTTTACAAGATGACAGGTTTCAGCAGAGAATGAGGAGGAACTATACTGGTATTAACAGGATGACAGGTCATAGTAAGGTATCGGTATTTAGAAGAAATCTGACCCGACATGAAAGAAAAAGATATACACATGATGTGTTTAGGGAAATTAGCCGAGCTATTGCAGACGGGGACCTCCCAATAGTGCTAGACCCGAGCAGCACTAATGGCAGCCAAAACAACGCTTCCTAAGCACCAATTATCGACATACCGTAAAGTATGGTCCGGTGTGGTTTGCATGGAATCTGAACTTTTGATCTAGTTCGAAACTTATTCCATGCTTACATGACGGGGTAAGGATAATTAACAATGAATATCACCGACATAAAAAAAAACAGGAAAGTAATGTTTAATTTCTGTGGTATTGTTGAAGAATAATTTCGTCGTGACGTAATACCAACCGGCGTCATTTACTCACTTATCAGCCTAATTATCATAAATCACTGTGTACCGGGAAATGTTCGCCTTTTGTAGTTTGGCGTACGCTATAAGAGCGCATTTATCCTGACACAGTACACAGTTTACCCTATACTGTAAGTAATTTCGAAGGGGAAATTTTCCACTCGGCGAATAGAGATTTTACCAGTAAAGGGCGAATATTTGACTGGACGAACGTTTATAGGTATACAGTTTACAGAAATAGGTAATTACTCTTTGTTACTGTCTAGTAGCGCTTTATACGCAAATGCAAAGAGTACGACTTTGGTAATCACTGGGAGTGCTACGCCATGTTTAACAGTATGCCCCTATTATCCGAACCAGAATGTGAAAACCAAGTACGACATGATGGTCACGTGGTTAATGAGCATACGTACGACTACCTGTGTATAGTGTCTGTATACGTTGTGTGTTTGAAGATGCGGAGGAAGTGTTCCACCAGGTCAGCAGTCACGTGATACTCTTGTATAGACATAACACAACAACAGGTTGTAATCCTTGTTGTAAGAGCACCAGTCAATCAAAAGTTCGTAAAAAGGTCCGACAATTCTGAAGGGTAACTCTAAGGCAAGAACATATTCATGGTTATGGCTCAACAATTCTGAGGGCGATTCCCAGTAAAGAAAACACCCTTAGGGATAATACTCATTTAGGTTCGACAACCTTCAGGGTGATTCTCCCAAACCCCTTAGTAATTCTCAGTAAGTCAAATGGGTAATTCTAAGTATGGTACCACATTCCCGTGGGGTACTTCTCAGTAAGAAACACAACCCTGGTGGGTTCATATAGGTTTCTGTAAGGCCTGACAACAATACACGGTATTTTGACACTGGAATCGGTAAAACATTGATTGGCATATTTGCATAAGATATAATGTAGGTAGATGGGTCAACGAGAAACAGTTAATATAGCATATAACATGATGTAGGCAGACATTTAAACAGAAACACAGTTTGAATGGGGTTGGTCCAAAGAAGGAATATCAACACACACAAGAGTAGCACACGTATAACACACGATTACTGACAATGCACGTTTGTACCATAAACTGGAATGGCATGTAGCAAGTGTCTTTGGCTTTCAGTATAAAGATATCAAAACATCACTTTCCATGGCTCACTTGTTTGTAGCGCCGTTGACATGTATTTCCAAATGTATTATTTTTTATACATCTGAAAATATCAGATGGATTAAAACATACATTTTAAAATGATACATGTACAAGTGTTTTCATGGTTGTTTTTTTTTGTGTGTATTCAGATTACCGTTTAAAATTAAGAGATTCGAGAATGAAAAGTAAAGCTACCGTCCCATAACTCGTACGCCGCATCGAACGACCGGGCTCAAATTCTGATAAGTAAAGCATACATAAAACACGAAAACATATCTTGGTGTGTGTGGGGAAACAAAATCAATAAAACTCTAACATGTGTGAAAGAAAAGATAGTTTTGGCAGTGTTACACCCGGATTTTCAAACACTTTCTTAAACATCTAAAACTTACAATAAAGACACCATCATGTATTGATAACATCTGATTGAATCAATCTGTTTCATATTCTTTTAAAGAATCCTTTTAAAAAAAAGATAAAGTTTGTTTTACAAGTACAACCACAAGTGCACGTTACCTAACAGACACACATATAAATGTCGGTCATTGTTAAACGTATAAATGCATGGGAACATATTTTCAACTTTTGGGCCCCACAAACATACATTTACAACACTTATATATGTATTGTATAAAACTTCATAACAAAGTAACATTTCGACTCAACGATAAAAAAAACACATTATAAAACCCGTCAATCTGGGATAAGTACTTTAGAAACATAGAAATATTTTTTAAAACTCCCATTACAATTGGAATACGCTTTTTGAAAAACAAAGTTGCAATTTCCAGTATTCTTTAAAACTTCCACATTTAGGACAAACGATGCATTTAATAAAACTATTGAAATAATAAAAATGTACTGAATGCAAGAATACCATAAGTAAAAGAAATAGATTATGAAACTTAAGTCCACCTGACTTGTGGACAAAGGATGCGTACGAAATACTCTTTAAAATCAACATTGTATTTATGTGTACCATAATGAGGAGGTACACTGTAACCATCAGTGTAATACACATTAAAGGTCTTCTTTATACCAGGAAGAAAATTTGACGGTGCGGAAAATGCGGCTAACATATGCAAAAATAAGATGAATGCGTACCGATTCCCCTAAGTGTAGCAGACAACCTTGAGATCTCGTCATGTAAGATTCTCAAGCTGACAAAACAACAACTAGAAACTGGAGCAGAAAATAAAGAGTGTGCGTTGCCCTGACGGGTAGACGTTTAACAATGTCCACCATGCAGTGCCAGTCGGCTGTCTTGGGTTACTTCAAAATGAAAACATTCGCATGTGTAGAGGCTAGAAAGCAGACATTTTACAAATGTTTGGTTGATGGGTTAACAAAAGAAATGTTCGACGGTTTATTGTTTTCGCATTTCAAATATTTGACTTAAAATGTTTAGTTGAACAGATTAGAAATATTATACTTTCTGTTGAAAAGACAACTTTCTGATCAAAAACATTGAGATTACGTCGCAACAGACATAATCTTGGGCAGTAAAAAGGCTAAGTTGCTGGCAGAAATTCAAATGGAAGGTTGTGTTTTGCCGTACTGAATCACCTCCACCTAACTACCACCTGTCTGAGAAAATCTTGCATTTCGCTACCAAATAAATATTTACTAACACCAAATTGTCATTTTTTCCCCTATTTATTGTTTTTTTTATTTTGTTTTTGATAACATCATGCACCAAATAATTTCAGTTTTATTTTACGTGGTATATTGTTTCTTTTTAACTCGCAATACCAAATTAAACAAATAATTGTCGAAGTGGTACCTGAAGGGCTATATTACAGATTATAGGTTTTTTCTATATCTCGAATAAAGGAAAAGCAAAATAACTGTATTATGAATACGACACAACTGACTGCCAATCATTGTCACGTTTTATGAAGGCAACAATAAATCTAAAAAAATACATAACTTCTCCCATACCAAGCAACAAAGATTCAGACAAAAATAAGTTTACGGCTCAGAAGGGCGTACATCGACTACCCCATGTGCTTCGGAACATGACCAAGAAAAGAAAACTATTTACAGACACAACAACTTTTTATCTACGTTCTAAAAATGATTTGTAGCAGTTTGACATATTCAAAACAATACATAAACTGGAAAGTTAACAGTGCTCCACAAAAGTACAAAATATATAGCCCTTTCATTTCCCCGACGACCTAATCAGTGGGATCTGTGTAGCGACTTCACAACATCAAGCCTGGCATTGCTTACGTTAAAAAATCAAAATCCCCAGCTAATCCTTACCGGCGACCTAATTTTCTTCTTCTTTAGCTTTGAAAATCCAAAGCATGCAAGATTAATGGTGCAAGGAAAAGCTTTATCAGTGTAAATAAACATTAGCTACTGAGCCCCTCCTAAAACATAAGGCCCTTATCACAAATATCGAAATGACCCAGACTACAAAAAGTAGCAATTGAAATTTGCAAGAATACAATCTGCGATTTATGGCGAAGTTTGCGTAGTAAAAATGTCACTATCACATGACTTACTGCTTTTCTTACTGACGAAATCAAACTAAAATGAGATTGGCAGCTCTTCTAATGCAAAATGGAAATACATAATAGTGATTAAATTGACCTTTAGTTAGGATGGGAACCATGATTTCAGACGTCTAATTCAAAAATTAATAAATAGCCCCGAGGAAATACTTTAAAGATAAACTCATCATTAGTGTATTGAAAATGATTTCATATCTTTCGTCTCCCAAAGGAGAAAAAATTTAAAGATATTTTCCCAAAGGAATCTTATTAATACTTTGAGTGGTAGATTTCTGAGATTAATCTGTGGATTGTTGGGTATTACCTTTAAGATTGAAACCCTGACAGGGTTGTCTAGAAAGTTATATACAGAAAATCCCATTAACATTAATGTCGTTAGAAACATATTGGCAGAACAATATGCGTTGCATGAACAAAACCTCTATGTTTAAACCATATAAAACTTGAGAATAAGATGACAAAATATTGCAGACTTCAGTAAAACAATGCCAGGTGAAAGATTTAAAATAAGACAAACGTTTTTGCCCATTTCGTTGTTCTATTTTGATTATTTCAGAATCACGGCCAGCCATGATACGTAAACATTAACCGCTGACGTCACGACAAAATGGCGTTGTTGTCATTATTATACAACGTCAATAGTC